TCCAGTGCGTACGTTTATTTACAATTCTAACATTCCTCATGATTTTGTCAATATACACAAAGAAGAAAGAAAACGATGTTAAACTGTCAAAGAACCATGGTTAGGGACTACATGTTTATGCGTCTGTTCTTTTTTTATACATGTTCTCCCTCCGATAATATAGATTAAGCTTTACAAGATAACAATAATAACGCACTTTTATTGATATTTTCCGTTCTAACTATGTTGTCTTTTCATATGATAATAAAATAAAATAAAATATCACTTACAAATACACAACGGGTTTTATCCTTGTCAATAAAAAATATATATTGCAATTCGTATGCAGCATAATCGTGTCCAATTTCTAACCATCAAAACTCCAAACCGGTGTTAAATAGCCGATAAACACCGCTGAAACCGATCTGATTACTAAAAACAAAAACTTTCTGTTCTTATATTGCACGAAAGAAATAGTTTAAATAACAACAACTTATCACTAGCTAATATAAGTTATATAAAAAAGATTACTTAATAATAATAGAAATAATAATAATAATAATAATAATAATAATAATAATAATAATAATAATAATAATAATAATAATAATAAAATAATAATGATAATAATAATAACAACAATAATAATAACTGAAATACAGAGATTGTCACGTATTATTACAGCAAAATAATTGAATGTTTTATATCATAGTTTAGTTTCGTTTCCTAAAATCGCGCAATACATTTAACTTCCTTGTAGCCATTTTGAAAACAGCAGCGAAATGGTGAGTTATTATTTTCTTTCTTCCCTTTTCTCAGCGCTAGGTCATTCTTAGAGATGCTTCTAAAATAAAATCATATGATCAGGTGATTTTTTTCAAACAGAAAACATGTTTTTTAATGAACATTTTGTCAAAAATCGGTAAATAGAAAAAAGTTGCAAAATTACTTCAAATGAAAACATGATTCTATTAGTTCAAAAACTATGATATCTAAATTTAAAGTTGAGATATATTCCGTACTAGTATTTAAAAAAACAACATTTTATGGGGAAGGTAGGGGACAGAAGATATCTATATTTGATTATTGAACTTTCCAGATTGTTTTTGACCTCGGTAGACATGAACGTTTATATCGCGCGACATACCATCTTATCACAATTTTGTTATTGCGAGTTTCTACTTGTTCTTAACATTCAAAGAAAGAACTGTAATATTACCATAACTTCTACGATATTACAACATTTTAGAGTAATATTAAAGACCCGTTATGATTTAAAACTATACCCTAAAAGCTTTCCTATAATTATCCCAAAACTTTGAATTCATGTTACCCTGCTAAAGCTTACAAATTGTTATTCACACTCACAGGTTATTTACATGTACCTGAACCGCCTTTTTCTTCTGTTATTGTTTGGCAATTAGTACAGTTGTAGTCAATAAGCATTTGTTATAGAAGTCAAAATAATAGTTAATTCGCATTTGGCTACTATTATGACAAATGATTCCACATTCAGTGCTACATTCTTAAGGAAATAAGATTTTTAATGTCTCGAAAACCGTTACATAAACGTTTTAAAACTCATGATAGCATTTCAGAAGATTAATAATTCATTTGTTTCGGACTGAGGTACTATGTGCCTGTTTGTCTGTTTCTGTATTAGGTTTCACATGGATATGTGATCCTAACACATTTGTAGTTTATAACATGAAAATAAGTCAGCATCACAATTTTAGTAAAATAATAAAACTACTTATTTCGATCGGTAAGATATTGTTCATGAAATATTGAATATACTATGCGTTATAACATACTTTTAAATATAACATTTTATTGTATTTTGTGTGATATTATAAAGGGTCTGTTTACTAAATAAAATGTTAATGAAAAGCTGATTTTTGAAACACTCTTGTATTGTATTCTTTTCGGGTTCTTAAATGTGAACAATTAAATATCGATCAAATTACCTATGCGTTCAATTTGTTTAAAAGTACTCTCAACGGGCAAATACAAAGGTTTTCAACAGATATATACAACTTCGAGTAGAACTGACTTGTAGCCAAACAAAGACACTGGCATTAATACTATAATGTGTTTTGAAACCAAAAACTATGTTTATAAATACTATTTTTGTTTCACTGACAAATCACGTTACTACATATTGATTATCTAAAAGAATTTTTTTCTATGCCATTTTTTTCCAACTTATTTGTGCGGGATATTACTTACTGTATCGAATTCAAAAATATAAATCAGATTGAAAAATCTTATGCAGAAAAAGAAACAATAACTATTTTTGCATCATTTTGGAGTTGGTATGTAATTTTTCAAACTTAATGTTTGTATAGGTCATGACTCGACAAAGTATAGTAGGCATTCACTTCACTTTCTATAGACTGATATATCTCATATAGTCAAAATGCAGTGATTATGAACAATAACTATCACTTGCATAATTTTTGGGTTATTGTCCTTGTTAATTGCCATGCTTAATTTTGCCCCAGAGGATAGTTATCACATGTATCCAAAGTTTTGAAACACGGAAAACTTAACCGAAAGTGTGACGACACTGGTGTGAGTAGGATAGTTCTCCCTATGTTAAAACTATAATAACCGAGCTAAAAATCATTTTCGAAGAAACGTTATTCTTGTACGGGTGATTTAGGAGTATATACATGTATTTTCATATAAGTTATTTCACTTTGTATCTTTTTGGCCGAAGGTCATTTAAATACATGTTCAATTCCTGTAAAAAACAGATAAGAAGATTTTTTTCTTGGTCAATTTAGAATAACAAACTGAAATTTTGGAATCTCATTGGCTATTTTCAAATAAAATGTAAAGGATAGTTCATACCATTCCATTATAAAACAAGTACAGATGTTGCTGCAATGCAGCAATTAAGAAGCTCCGCGCGCAAAAAAAAAGCAGCACGCATCCAGGTGTGCCAAAATATTTCAAGAAATCAATACATCTAAAAACATTCAATACCCTAGTTAAATTGTACATGTTATGTACAGTACAGTTTAGAACTGATTTGGCAGTATTTTATAACCATTACTAACACAGAAAGGGCTTATTTTGCATTTGTTGACAACTTTTTGGAATTTTCTTGGATTGTATGTGCAAATTGGAGTATGTAAATTACTTTATTTGTTCACCTCACACTATTTTACTTTTAAATACATTTCCAAATATTTCATAAAAATTAGCATGAATCTTGAGGCGTGCTGCTTTAAGTACTATTGTACATTATTCCAGATGTTTTGTAAATCATTTAAAGTTGTATAGTTATAGATCTACGTCTCGTATGCACTGCCCATGATAAATAGAGGGGCCAGATATTAAATAAAAAAAAACAACAACTTTTACTAATGCCTACCTGGTACAGAAAGTAAATTAATTGATAATTGATACATGATGATACACCTCTTTCATAAAAAATAATCAGAGTTAATTGATTTAAATTATGATTATTTCTGGGGTGTGTTTCATAAAGTATCGTGAAAACATAAGACTAAAATTAGGACTGGAATAAGATTGCACTTAGGAGTGTTTCAAGAATAACTCCTAAGTCTTGCACTTAGGAATAGTCCTAACTTTACTCTTAAGACACAATCTTGCTAATGGAGATAAAAAATACTCACTTGTGGAAATGAAATAAGAAATCGTCATGTGAAATAGTGAAGAATGATAGAAAAAAAAAGAATGGTGTATAATTGACATTTATACATTATTATTTCTTATTTTTACCTTACTTAATATCATTTATGTTATAATGTAAGGGGACTAATAATGTTTTGATTTTCTTTTAAAAATATTCTAAAATTGCATAAGGCAGACATGTTTCTTGAAAATATATTCCATATTTTAATAAAACAAAAAAATATCTTCTTAATATTTATGAAATAAAATAAATTTTGAGTGAATTGTTGTAGGATGAAGCCTTTTTCGAGTTCAAATGTGCAGGAATGTAATAACTAAAGTTGATAGGCCTTAAGTAATTTATTACAAAACATTTGAATGATTAAACGTGCATTATTTTACTGTTACGGCTGAAAAAAGATCTATTTCCATGAAAATAGTCAATAAAAACATTTGATCTTTATTAAGCGCGGAAGTTGTTTTTTCTGACGTCATTTGGTTTATTGACGTCATATCTGACTTCATATTTTATATGCCATGCATATATCGTGTAATAATGCACTTGACTGCCTTATCCGTTAATAGGTGTGTTTTGATTTTATGTTAATTAAAAAAATTACTGAATCTTGAACATAGAACATTCGCCAAACTGCCATTTTGATCAGTCACAATGTCAGTATGTACAAATACTGGTACAGATTTTCTTTCACTAATGAAATCTATCATTACACTGGTTAGCAAACATGAACATGTTTTTTTTCATAAAAGTTATATTCACCTTAAAAGTATTTATTTAGGGTTGTATTTACATAACCAAAACTTTTCATAATTCATATTAAATGAGTGTAATAATAACAGTGACAACAATTTATTAAATATTACAGGTACTAGATCTAATAACTTTTTCTTCACTTTTTAAGTATATAATTATACATCAGTCAATGAAACAAGAGCTGCAATGATTTTTAAGCACGTATTTTTGTATTTACAACTTAATACAAAAGTTAGGAGTGCCCTAAGGCACCCATAGAAAAAGTCCTAAGTTTAGTCTTAAAATTGTACTTAAGATTTTTCTTGAAACACTGTTTTATCACAGTTTTGCATTTACGACTAAAATAGGTCTTTATGAAACGCATCCCTGATCTAATTTGATTAACTGAATTTGATAAATCATAAGAATGTAGTTCTTGGGATGATGTACCTAAATAAATTATCAGTTTCCAACATATAATGACAAATTAATATCTAACTGTCATTAAATTTAAAAGGGTGTCCTTTTCCTTGACATTGCTTATCTCGTTGGCTTTGTGTCATAATAATGGGCTAAGGTGGTACGTAATACTATGAAGCTTAAATAAGTGATTTGTATCATTTGGTTGTGGATATCATTTTAATCAACTTGCGTGTTTTCATCTGTTTATAGGCTGGTAATATTGTAGTTGGTTCTATAGACTTTGGAACAACGTACTCAGGATGGGCAGTTATGTTTTCTCATGAATTTGAATCAGAGCCGACGAAAGGATTCGTGAAGCAATGGCATTCGGGAAGCTCAATAATTACAGAAAAAACACCTACAGTGGTTCTTATAAAACCTGGCGGAAATGAACTGGAAGCATTTGGTTACGATGCTGAGAACCGTTATAAAGAGCTAATAGAACAGGGAGAACACGAGGGATACTACTACTTTCAGAGATTTAAAATGAAACTTCATAAGGAAATGGGTGATGTAAGGAATATTTTGATTTTGAACGAGTTCCACATGTGCAGTTATTTGGTTGTAACACATTGCTTGGTTTGATAATCCTGCTTTTACTTATTTCATTTCTGATTATTCACTTAAATTGATTTAAATATAATAAAATGATCAACAAAGGAAAGCATCGATCATGGTTCACGATAAGATGTTTCGTTTGTATGTTTTGTCAAGTGTTCTTGCCATTTCTTTTATTATTTTTCTCTTATATCTTCTCGTCTCAATAAAATGTCCTCCCCTGTAACTTCATCAGCCCTTAAACCCCTGAAGTTTCTTTTTGATTGTTATAATTAATCAATTCGCTCCTTCTTCTTTATCACCCCACCACTACGATTGGTTGCCTATACCTTATTACTTGGCATTCCTGGGCATCGTTCGAATGTTCCACTATCGTTTACTTTCTAACGAAAGTTTGAAGTAACGGTGGTGATTCAATTAGCTGCTAAAGATGCGTATTACCCTGTGCGACAGGAAATTGTAGGGGTTGCCTTCCGTTGAATTTGTTTCCAAAATTGATATTAACCACAAATATAACATATGTTTAAATTTCCTTTACATTAATTTTTCATATTTTCCATTCAGAAAATCGACTTGAACATGACGTTGAAGGATGAAATGGGACAGACTCTACCTGCAATTAATGTTTTTGCTATGGCAATAGAATACCTTGTAAATGATATGCATGATGTAACCAAAGACAGAATATCCGGAGTAATTCAGAAGTCTGAGGTTCATTGGGTTATCACTGTTCCGGCAATTTGGACAGACTCAGCAAAACAGTTTATGAGAAAAGCTGGCGAACAGGTTAGTTATGTTTATATTCATTGATTTGTTCCATTTAAAACTTTATTGTTTAGTGTTAATTTCGATATTACTGCTGACAATTTCATCAACTTACAATGTTTCTTCAGGCTGGAATAGATGAACGCAAATTAAGTATCGCCCTTGAACCAGAAGCGGCCTCCATTTTCTGTCGCCATTTGCCAGTTGAAAAAAGAATCGACACTTCAAATGTATGCATTGCTTCCTTCCCAGCTGGAACGAAATACATGGTGCTAGATGCTGGAGGTATATATTTATCGATCTGATAACATGAATACATGGGGATATTCTCAGTCCATTAAACATGTAGATAAGGAATCTTATATCTTTTGTTATCTACTGTTTTGCTATTCTTTGAGAGTAAAATAATGGAAAAAGAAGCTGGACTTCTACAGTGCTTTTCGTTTGGTTCGGCTGTATACATTTTGAAAGTCACTCTAAAATGAGTTTTAGTTTCGGACTTGTTTTCAGTTGCGCGGTCTAATTTAATCCCAAAATATCATGTTCGTCCTGATTGTGACGAATATAATAAACACTAATCATTTATGTATTTATCATTTCACTTTTCAAATAACATGGTAACTATTCATAGATGTTTTCAGATAATAAATTTTCAATGACATATGGGGAATTACCCCATTAATTTGTGATTTTCTATGACCTATAAATACTTGTATATTGCGTTAATGTGATATTAAATTTCCACAGTAAAAGATTACATACTGATACCTTTCATCAAATACATGGCATTTAGAAACACATAGCACTGATATGTACAATACAGTTATTAAAAAACAAAACACTTTAAATGGTCATTATTATCAATGAACTGCAAATACCTTGGGGTAAAATTCGGTCATTTAATGCTTATGTCTCCGTGTAGGAACATTATCCTATTTTTTGCTTTTAGTAAGTTTTGTACCCCTTCGTAGTAAACCTAACACTAATTTTGAAGATAGATATGTATGAATTGATTTTTATTAATAGATCTAGAGTTGTTGGACCTATGCCCGGCCCAAAATCGTGGTAAATGTTCCGAAAAAGCAACAATTGATAATGTATTTATTGAAAGTAAATGCTTCTGTCCAATAGTTTTATATCCAATTATTCGTTAAGAACGAAAATGACCTTTATAGTATCTGCGGTAAATGAGTGCGGTTAAGTTCTAACTAAACGAATGCTCGGTGCAACGTTGGCTATATATTTTGACTTTGTGTTGTTAAAAATGTCTTTTGTTAATTTTGTAAAAGTCGAAACCGAATACAAATGGACAAGATTTTAACATTTTTTTAATTTTTTTTATTATTAATAATCTAAATCCGTCTATGCCTGTGCTTATCAAGAAGGCAAAATGTGGCTATTTTATCTGCTAAACATACAGTTACTCCCCTTTTGTCTGGTCTGATGCGATAGGGTTACGTGACCATATTGGAGGTTAAATTACCTAATAAAAGTTTGATAAAGCTAAAGTATATAGCTTTTTAGTGTTATGCTTTTATTTCGTAAGATATTCGTTAAATCATGATGTTTGCACCGAGCACTGGTCTACGTTGAGCGTTGATCCAACCACTCTACGGATTTCAAATATTGTACAGTGACACCTTATGACCAAGCATAAAATTACAATAAGGAAATTAAAATAGAACTGAACTGTAAATAAATACTGGGCTATTTCTTAACCAAAACGTTTCTTTAGACAAACAAAAATTATTGTAGACTCTCAAAATTTTGAGTAAATCAAACTATATTAAGTTTTTTTAAAGTGATACAAAATTGTACTTGAAGAAGATTATGATGGTAATTCAGGCCTTATCACTGTCAGATTTTGCTTCTATAAAAAGATATTTATAATAAATACACAGGACATAATTCAATCTATTGACAAAATAAAAGAAAAGGTTACATATCTACATAAACTATTCATTTTAAGGTATAGATATAACGACCCCCTTTGGTTCCTCGGTTTAACTTTGAGGTCGATAAAAAAATAAGGTAGATAAGTCTAAAATGCGAATGATTAAGTATATTTTATTTTACAGGTGGTACAATAGATATTACAGTCCATGAAGTCCAACCTAACGGTTCTGTTAAAGAAATAGAAGCTGCAAGCGGTGGTGGCTGGGGCGGAACTCTTGTAGACCAGGCGTTTGAAGAGCTGATCATTGACATAGTAGGAAAAAAGGTTTATCAAGATTTCAAAAGGAAAAGCCAGAAGATTGGTTGGACCTTTGGCGCGATTTCGAAATGAAGAAGAGAACAATCCAGCCTAAAAAAGAGACAAAAGTTGTCATGAGAATACCCGAATCTCTGCGTAAAAAGTATAAACGACAAAGCACAAAAACCTTCACAAATGCTGTTGAAACATCTTCATATGCTGACAATATTACATCTGTGGCTGACAAGATAAAGTTTGACCCATTTTTATTTAAAAAACTATTTGATGGTTCGTTGACGAAAACAATACAACATACAGAAAGTCTTATCAAAAAGCTAACTGTTCAACAGATCAAAGCCATTTTAATGGTGGGAGGTTTTTCTGAGTCCCCTATGCTTCAAGAGAGGGTTAAATCCTGCTTTCGTGGCATTGATGTCATCATACCTGCAGAAGCGTCCTCCTCGATATTGAGAGGAGCGCTTATTTTTGGACATAGTCCAACTTCGATCTCTGAGAGAGTTCTGAGGTATACATATGGTATAAGTATCTATACTCCATTCATAACAGGCAAACATCCAGAAAGCAAGCGTGAAAATACTGATTCTGGACCTCAGTGCAGGGACGTGTTTAACAAGCATGTTGAGAGAAATCAAAATGTCAAAGTAGGAGAGCCACAGGTTGTAAAATCTTACTCACCTGTCAACAAAAATCAGAAAATCATTCCTTTTTCCATATATGCGTCTGACATGAAAGATCCCGAATATACAGATGTTGGTTGCAAATTCGTCGGGGAAATGCAAATAGAGCTCCAAGACCGCAAAATAGATGTGTCGCGTAAAGTTGAAGTAAGCCTTACATTTAGTGGTACAGAAATTGAGGTGAAAGCGAAAGATGTAAAAACAGGGAAATATGAAAAAGCATCGATTAATTTCCTGGGGTAATCAGTGAAAAGTAGATATAAAAACATTTTTTTTTATCAAAAAGTCGAAGACGTGTTAAATAAAACAGGTATGATAAAGATAAATGATACTGTAAATCGTGTCTCAATAAGAATTTAATATTGTGTTGAACTATTTTGAGATAACAAAACTACGGTTATGTTTTATAGTGTGATTGCTTTAAAACACGTAAATGGTGGAAGTAATATAACTATTTTGCACACATACATTTTGGAAAATTTTATTTGTGTAACTGCTTAACAAGAACCATATTCATCCTCATATTATATACAAATATCACATTATAACTATAAGAGTTAAACAAATATAAAATGTTCATGGGGCTTCAGCATTTAAACCAGAAATGCAAAATTCTTGATGATGTTTGTATAATAAGTTAAATAAACCGTATATTAATGACACTTTAAATGATTTTTGAGTGATATACACATCAAAATCGCCTTACATTACGATGTAACGTTGCATGGCATGAGGGATTGATGGTTTTTTATTCGAATTGTAAATTATACTGCTTCTGAAAGTGCGATGGCGTTTCTCTACGTCTATGCAAACATCCATATGAAATTAGGTTCTACCAATATGAAGGTAAAGAAGCACCCTAGAAACGATACCAAACATCATTTACTTGCAATTTGGTATATTACACAAATTATATATTATATTATATTATATTACACAAAAACTCCCATGTACAGTTTCTCTTGCGTTTTAGTTTTTTCGACAGAAAATAAAAAATGACTTCGAGTCAGCTAAATACTTATGAACTTAATAAGCAGTCTGTAATTGACACACTTTATCAGATCATAAATACCATCTTTGAAAAATAGTGTCAATATATTGACATGAATTCTCGAGTTACTTAATGTTGTCGGATTAAAAGAGTTTTCATAATGGAAATATTCATGTAAAAGATATATTGACTTAGCCTTTAACTTTCCATAAACCGAAAATGTAACTGATGGTTAAAGAAATTTGACCTTGTTTACATTTAAAGACATAGTTTTATTTGTGATACTGTTTGTAATTGACCTAGCGAATGATTGTAAAGGTTTGATTTTTTTCTCTGCAAAGGTACGTTGTCGTTCAACTTAATTTTACAGCCTAAGTTTTTAAATGCAGTTTGATGGACAGGAATTCAATTGGTCCTATGCAAGTTTTAGTAAAAATAAATAGTATCTGAAACATTCTCTGTATATAGCCTGTTATATGATAAGATGTAAATTATAAATGTTGCATTGGATATTTCTTTATCAGTAGTGTGTAAAGCTATATCATAAATATGTACTTTGAATAAATACAAAACGCCATCCTTCTTATTGTTGTTTTTAACATGATAATCCAACTAATTTAATGTTTCAACGTTCAAAAATTGTTATTTCAGCAAACCAAAAAGAACCATATATATATTTACTAGGTTCTCTTTAAACTTCTCATGTAGGGAACTAATTAAATAAACGCTTAACACAAATCCTGGGTATACGAAACATATTTTGAATGTCCCAGTGAGTTTGCTATAAGCAGTGTTTTCTTAATGGCAAAGAATGTTGCATTATGCATTTGAGTACATATGTGCGCTCATGCCTCAGTGTGTGATATAAATTAAAATAAATAAAACTTATCGATGACAGACAAAGAAGCAATATTTATCCAAAGTTTCTAAGATGAATGATCCATAGCCGCTGCGAGGACCCAGCGCTTCTCAGAAAGCTATGGGTATTGTGATTAGCTCGTGCAGTATATCTTGAAAAAATGTATAAACATAAAAACACTGATTACAGAAATGAAGTACAACTTTTTATTATATCGCTCTATACTTAACACAATTCGCTATAAGTACATAGTGGAAATTTAGACACATAATTAAATTGCAGCCTCGGTTTGTTTTCGTTTCAATGCATAACACACTTTTTGGCTTTTCTAGTAATTTAACTGATTAAATATTTGGCTGTTGTGGTTGGTATACCATGCATTTAATTTAAATATACTATTTATCTTCGTATTCCTCACTTCGGTCATTCATGTGCCTTTCATCTTATTTTTGTATTAAACCCTTTTCATTAAACACCTTACTTTTTATCTTCTTACATGTTACAATACAAATACCTTTGTATTATTACATAATTTGAGTAATGTTTCCAGATTGTCTAAAAGTTTGTATGCCTGCGGTAAATGCATAAAATCGGCGGTCTACTAGATGTTAATGAAAATGTTGCAGTTCTAGAAGAACTTATATGTTTATATTTGATATATTTTTGTACTCCATAAACAAAATCTTATTAAACTTTTTCTTATGAAGTTCTATACTGAACATCTATTTTTATAGGGGAGTTCAAAGATAAAATCGTTCTGATCACTTGTTTAATTACCTGCTCCTACAAAAAAATTGCCAAATGTTCCGTGGATAAACCTTTAACAGATGCTCGGCTATTCGTTTCATGATATACAACGGTACATTTATATCTTCTTCACTTCGTACAGGTAAACTGCATGTCTGTTACCTCTTTTCCAGATTATTTTACTTCACAATAGCAGGTGTCAAACTGTATGGCAGGTGTAAAAATTGCCCTGTATTCAATGTTATTCTATTTTTCTTGGGACATAAAATGTTGAAAATTGAATACCGCTTAAGCCGCTGGATGCTTGCACTATGAACAGACTGTCTCAAACCGTGTCTAGAAGTTTTATGTACAAGGTAGCATATTCTAGGCCATTCATTTTCTACATCTTTGAAATTAGGTACAAAAATTAAACATGCATGTGTTATGATAATAAAGTAATTTCTGATGCAATATTTGCAGAGCATTTCATATATATTCTTAATTGACTTGTTCAAAAGTAACTTGTACTCAACTTAAACTTTTTGTATAAAGGAAAATACTATTATAATAGTTTATTATTGTGGTAAGAATTTTCAACTTTATTCATATTATTTGATATGATTTATATAAGTAAAATCTATGGCAATTCCTACGCAATTCTGAGTATGCAACTAATTTATAAAGGCGAAATAACAACGTCATTAGAAACTGACGTGGGCGGGGATGAATATTTATTGATTATTATTCCTTAGCGACAGTAGAATGCGAAACATTACAGCCCAATACGAAACTCGGTAGCTGAAAAACTCATTACTTGAAAAAATAGCGTTAGTGAATTCTCTTATTTAGTCATATTAGCATGTCGGTTTGATGACACTAAATCAACCATTTAGGTATACGGTCTTCGCGGTCAATTATTTGGCATCAAAACTCTTAACCGGTGTTAAATAGCCGATAAACACCAACGAGACCGATATTATTTCTTAAACCTACCACTTTCTGTTGTACGAAAGAAACCATTGATAGTTTTAAATAATTACAACTTATCACGAACAGAAATATGTTATTATATTTTCCACTGTGACTGATATTAATTCTTTAACCAACTACTTTCTGTTCTTATATTGCACGAAATAGGTCAGGGTAGTTTTGAAAAAATACAACTTTAATATTACGAACAGAAGCAAGTTTAAACACAGGCTAAAAAAAGATATATAAAAAGGTTATTCTAATTCCAAAATAATAATGATAATAATAAAATCGAAGTAACAAAATAAGATTATATTCTATTTATGTCTTAATGAAAAAAAAGAAGAAATTACCAAATTACAGAGGTTCTCACGTGTATTTATAATTAATACAACAAAATAATACAATATCTAATATCATAATTTAGTTCCGTTTCCTAAAATCGCGCGATGGATTTAACTTCCTTGTAGGCCATTTTGAAAACAGCAGCGAAATGGTGAGTTGTTATTATTATTTTACTTCTCAGCGAAAGGTCATTCTAAGAGATAATTCTATACATGCGATACAATCAACAATTTTTATTTCAATTAATATCTCGTGAAAAATCGGAAAAGAGAAAAAATGCCACTTATTTCAAAAGAAAACATGACACAAAGGCTGTAAAAATTGATTTAATGTCGAGATATAGTCTTTATTTTCGGAAGAAACCATTGAAAGAGGAAGACAGTGGACGAAATACTTTGATATAACTTTCCGAATCGTTCTTGATCGTTCGATGTAAATGTCCATGTCGCGTGAGATACAATATTTGTAAGTGCGAGTTTCGACTTGTTCGCTTTCCTTAGAGGACTGTAGTATTATGCTACCTTCCACGAAATTACAACATTTACAGGTGTAACATTAAAGACCCATTATTCTCCAGAAATGCTTTTTACTATATCTCAAAACTTCTCCTATATCGATCAAGCTTCATATTCATGGTGGCCGGCTACAGTTTCCAAATAGATATTGACAAGTTATCTACCCGAAACATCATTTGCTTCTATTTGGCATTTAGTACCGTTAAAATGATTTAGCATTTAGTATGGAAGTCAAAGTACTACTTTGTTCGCATTTTGCTACTTTTATGAACATGAATTTCACATTCAGTGCTATTTTCTTCAGGAAATAAGCATTTAAATTCTATAGAACCATTATTTAAACGTTATAAAAACACATGATTGCTATTTCTGAAGAAGAAATATTTATTTCTTTTTGAAACAAAATATACTAATCTGTTTGTCTTTTCATTAGTTTACACATGAATATATTAATATCCTCATACATTTGCATTTTATAACATAAACAACAGCCAGTATCTATTTCAATCGTTAAAATTTTAACGCTCGTATAACAATCTTATCGTGCTTTTAAACGACAAACAATAAAACAGCGACACATAATAACATAACGATCAAATTACGCAAACGTTCAATTTGTATAAAAATATTCATAATGTGTTTAATCAATAGGTAAATACAAATATTATCATCAGCGATGTATAACTTTGAGTAGATTTGACCCGCCGCAAAAAGATATATGGATTAAATGATATAAGGTATTTTGAAAATAAAAACTATGTTTAAATACGACATTTTTGATTAACTGGCAAATCACGCTACAACATATGAACTATTTCAAGTGATAATAAATAAAATCCCACATACACTAACGCAACGGGTTTTATCTGTATCATTTGATATGATTGATATAAGTAAAATTTATTGCAATTCATAAGCAATTCTAAACTGATAAAGATGTCAAGGTTGACGCTATTTTAAACTAACATGGGTTGGGAATGTAAACTGATTTATCGATCACCGATGTAAAACAGTCTGACACGTAGGTTTAAATTGTATTAAAATTGATTAGATAATGTTTGAAAAAAAGATGAAACATTTCTCCTTAAGTTATTTGTTTCTAAAAAAAATCTTAATGCCTGAGAGACAGTAGGGTGCGAAATATAACAGCCAAGTACAAAAATCGGCAGCGGCTTTAATCTCTGCTTGAAACATAGAAGGAAATAAAACGGTGTTAAACAGCCAATTAACACTGATAAGGGACTTCATGCATATGCCGGTGTTCTTTTTTTTAAACATGCTCTCCCTCCGATAATATAGATTAAGCTTTATAAGGTAACAATAATAACGCATTTTATTGATATTTTCGGTTCTTACTATGTTGTCTTTTCATTTGATAATGAAAGAACATAATAATAATAATAATAATAATAATAATAATAATAATAATAATAATAATAATGATAATAACTGAAATACAGAGATTGTCACGTATTATTACAGCAAAATAGTTGAATGTGTTATATTATAATTTAGTTCCGTTTCCTAAAATCGCGCAATGCATTTAACTTCCTTGTAGCCATTTTGAAAACAGCAGCGAAATGGTGAGTAATTATTGTTTTACTTCTTCCTTTTTCTCAGCGCTAGGTCATTCTTAGAGATGCTTCAGAAAAAATCATACGATCAGGTGATTTTTCCAAACAGAAACCATGTTTTTTAATGAACATTTTGTCAAAAATCGGTTAATAGAAAAAAGTTGCAAATTACTTCAAACGAAAACATGCTTCTATAAGTTCAAAAACTATGATATCTTACAATAGTTTAAAGTTGAGATGTATTCCGTACTAGTATTTATAAAAAAACAACAACACATTATATGGGGAAGGTAGGGGACAGGAGATTTTTATATTAGATTATTGAACTTTCCAGATTGTTTTTGACCTTGATAGATATGAACGTTTATATCGCGCGACATACCATCTTATCACAATTTTGTTATTGCGAGTTTCGACTTGTTAACATTCCTTCAGATACAGGAAAGGATGAACTGTAATATTACGCTACCTTCCACGATATTACAACATTGAAGTGTAACATTAAAGACACATTTTTTTTACTATACCTCAAATACAGGAAATAAGATTTTTAAAGTTTCTAAAACCGTTACATAAACGTTAAAACTCATAAGAGCATTTCAGAAGATTAATAATTCATTTGTTTCAGTCTGAGGCATTATGTGCCTGTTTGTCTGTTTCTATATTAGTTTTCACATGGATATGTGATCAGTTTATAACATGAAAATCAGTCAGCATCACAATTTTAGTAAAAATAATAAAACTACTTATTTCGATCATTAACATATGGTCCATGAAATATTGAATATAATATGCGTTATAACATACTTTAAATAGAACATTTTATTGTATTTTGTGTGATATTATAAAGGGTCTGTTTACTAAATAAAATGTTTATGAAAAGTTAATTTTTGAAACACTCTCGTATTGTATTCTTATCGGGTTCTTATGTGAACAATTAAATATCATGGGTTCAATTTGTTTAAAGGTATTCCAAGTGTGTTTTATCGCTGAGATAAGTTCTGTTTACACAAAACATTTTACACTTCGTTTCGATCTCATTACATTTACTAGTGTACTGTTTATTTTACATCAGAACTCAGTATAATTTACATTGAGTGTAAAAATTAGTTTAACGAAATATCGAGTACAAAATAAATTGTTCTATTTGTATGTTTTCACACAATTAATGTGGTGGGTGGAGTAATGAACCCTTTAAGGTCTATCTATAGTAATCCTAAATGTATTTGTTTGCGAAGCCAAGGCCGTTTTACCTTTTTAACAGTTTTTTTATATTTTTCTTTTTCATCATATCTGTTTGTATTGAATTAAAGCTATAAGTAGATTGTTGATTTAACACTATTCTTTATACTTTAATTTCCATTTAAATTATTTCATATGTGATTCTTTTAATAATACTGTCATTCTTTTGCACATGATGAAAGTCAAACTTGAAATACCTAAATCAATACTAGAAAATTAAAGTTGTCCTATTTTGAAGAGACATCAATATCAATATACTTACAATTTAATTTCTTTGTTTACATTTTTTCTTAGCTACAATAAATTACTTTGTCATTGTTGTACAAGCATTGCTAACAGTTCTATATGTTTCAAAAACTAAGAAATAACAATTGCAATTTGTATTTGGGCAGGTATTTTTATTAAAGATACTTGTATCATAGTTTGGGAAGTTTCTGTTGAAAATGTGTCAGAGTTAAATTGTATACATATACATGCACAGTGCGTTAACTGGAGTGCAGGTATTAGTTATTGGTTGGCTCATTTTTGCTGGGGTTTACTTATTGTGACGGCAGAGAATGGGAAAGCAATAGAAATATCATATTCAGATGCTCATTCATTGGTAACATTTTACTGGGGTTTCATATTGTGACAGCAGGGAACGTGTTTTTATGTTTGACCATGATACAAAAGAGAAAGAACATCAAAACACTCGGCAATCTGATTAATACTCGGGGCTACACCCCCCTCGTACAAATCAGATAGCCTCGTGTTTCGATGCTCTTTCTATTACATATTGTTTCAAATTCAATAATGTCTAGAGTTTATCTTAATTATAATACGGTGTATTAGTCTATGGAACTTTATGTAAGTTTAAGTTTTGAAAATTGAGTACCGCTAAAGCCTGTGCGAAGGGTACAGATTCAATCAAACCGAGTCTGCAATTTTCATGTAATTTTGTTGTGATTTTGACATTACATAACTTTAATCTAAGGAACTATATATAACTTTAATCTATGCAAAATTAAAAATCTTTATAGCGATTTCAAAGTCATATATAGTAATTGATACATGATGATTTATCTCTATCATTCGGCATAAAATAAATCAGAGACTAAATAATTATTATTCCTGTTCTAATTGGATTCATTGAATTTGGTCATGCTTTTTATTTCTTTCATAACACTTGAATGTTAAGATTACAGTTTAATGTACTTCATATAAATTATAAATTTGCAATAAAAATGGTAAATAAAATTATGCCGTAATGTCAATATTTTTAAAAGAATGTCATTTTTCTTGACACTGCTAGTTTTTTTCAGGGCTTTGTATATTAATAATTCTCTTAGGTACATAAATAATAAGCTTTAATCAAATGATTTGGATATCAGCTCAATCAGATTGCATGTTTTCATCTATTTATAGGCTGGTAATATTTTGGTTGGTTCTATAGACTTTGGAACAACGTATTCAGGATGGGCAGTTATGTTTTCCCATGAATTTGAATCAGAGCCGACGAAAGGATTTGTTAAGCAATGGCATTCGGGCTCGATAATCACAGAAAAAACACCTACAGTGGTACTTATACAACCAGGCGGCAATAAACTAGAGAACTTTGGTTACGATGCTGAGAACCGTTATAAAGAGCTAATAGAACAGGGAGAACACGAGGGATACTACTACTTTCAGAGATTTAAAATGAAACTTCATAAACAATTGGGCGATGTAAGGAATATCTTAATTTTGAATGAGTTCCACGTGACTGTGCAATTACTTGATTGTTACACATTGCTTAGTTTGATTATCCTGCTTTAACTTATTTCATTTCTTTATTATTTTTTCTTGCATTGATCTAAACTCCCGATTAGTAATTAATTTGTAATGATTGCTAACAGCATCGTTAACGGTTGATATGATGTTTCGTTTGAATGTATTTCTGCCGTTTCTAAATCCACCTTTTATTTCATGCTTTTGTGTGGATAACTGATTTATCATTGAAAATTATATTTGATAATTTTACAGTGAAAATTATCATTTTATAATTTCACACTTTTGAAAGAAGAGACTACTTTTAAAAGATTTATCTTTTTCGGTACATCACTTTTATTTAAATTTATGGTTACAATGCCATCCTATCTAGAGCTGTTTAGAAGCAAAGCAAAGCTAAAATTTATAAATAATTTATATTTCAAAAGTAATCAAAACGATAAAACTTACTTCAATAAATTCCATTTACCGATTAACAAATTCGTCTCTACTTTTTGATTTCCTTCTTAACAGTCTGATAATTACACTTCTTTCATAATGCAAAACTGTTCTTGATGACATTTGGGCATATTTAACAATCCTACAAGCAATAACTGTAAAATCTGTTTAAAAACAATGGCGGTCATCTGCCCGAATAATTACCAAGCGTTCGTAAGACAGCTTTTCAAAAGATCCCATGTTTCCAAATTCCTAGTCGCTTCTTGAATGTGTACGCATATGGCAACAGTTACAATCTACGAATAAGTATTCTTTCTTATGATAGATGTAACATTATCAAAGCCAAATGAAATCCCTTAGAATCAAGCACATTTTATTCTTTCCTCGTTTGAAATAAACAACTTTTAAAAATGGCCGTCGAATGATAAGGACTATTACATCTTTCTGCATTATAAGTGTATAAAAGAAAATTAAGTTCGACATGATGTAACTTTCCCATCTTTTTTAAATGTTTGTTTTATTGTTTAAAAAAAGGATCTATCATACTTTTTTGTTTAAAACAATATCATCGCTATTTAATGATTAATGTTGATTTTCGATCTTATTTTTTAGCTCAAGACTTCTTGAGCTATTTATGAGAAATTCGTCCGAAATTGAGGCTTCCAGTGGAAAATACAGATTATAATTAGTTAATATTGAGGAAATTTCATTTAAACTTGTTTGAAGCATAAAATAAAAAAGAAAATTTGTTTGCTTGTGGTATAAGATGTAATTTTCTTTCATCTCGTGGGAAAACTGTTTTTAAAGCTCACTCGATGAAATAAAATTTCAATTTATGCACAAACAAACAAATATACACTATATATTCGTTCACTTCAATAAAAAGTCTTTCCATGTATTTTTATCACACTTTTTTCCTCTGAAGGCTCTTGTTAAAAGTAGTAATAATTAATCAATTCGATTCTTCTCCTTTATCACCTTTCAACTACGATTGTTTTTTTAACCCTCCTTGGTATCGGTCCAATGTTTCACAATAGTCTCTTCCGAACGTTTGAAATAACGGCAAGATATTCAATTAGCTGCTATTACCTTTTGCAACAGGAAATTGTCAGGATTGCGTTCCGTTGATGTTGTTTTCCCATATTGATATTAACTGTTGTAGTTTGATCATAAATATTACATATAATGGAATTTTTCTTTTCAATCATTTTTCATATTTTGGCATTCAGAAAATCGACTTGAATATGACGTTGGCGGATGAAATGGGACGCAAACTACCTGCAATTGATGTTTTTGCTATGGCAATAGAATACCTTGTTGATGATATGCATAAGGTTATCAAAGACAGAATGTCCGGAGGTATTGAGAAGTCTGAGGTTCATTGGGTTATCACTGTTCCGGCTATTTGGACAGATTCAGCAAAACAGTTCATGAGAAAAGCTGGTGAACAGGTTCGTTATCATTATATTTTAGATATTTTTCATTTAAAAGTTTATTGTTTAGTTTTAATTTTGATAAAAATTATCAAAAGTACTGCTGTGGACCATTTCAATAAAATCTAACAATGTCTCTTCAGGCTGGAATTGATGATCGCAAATTAAGTATCGCACTTGAACCAGAAGCGGCCTCCATTTTCTGTCGCCATTTGTCAGTTGAAAAAAGGATCGACACTACTAATGTCTGCATTGCTTCCTTCCCAGCTGAAACGAGATACATGGTGCTAGATGCTGGAGGTATATATTTATAAATCTCTCAGATAAGGTTAATAATGGGGAATATTCTCAATTCATAAAAGCATATTGTAGTGCTCCCGTGAGCGCCACGAAATATCACGTAATAATGATGAATCGATCGGACGTACAGACGGACATATGACTGATTACAATATTATAGAACTAAGTCTGGACATTTCGGAAATAATCACTTAAGGATATTATCAGTTATTTTTAAACAAAATAATTTATTTTAATAAATTCCCTTAACAGTAAATAATGTCAGGATTGCAACTTTAAAAAATCAGATGATGCAATAAAATAATGGCACAACGAATTGCAAAAGAGTCAAGAGTCTGACAGAACTTACACATTCAACAGTCATTTAAATATTACGGAGTCGTCAAAGCTTCCCACTTTTGAGTTAATATATAAAATAATAAAATGCAATTTTTGTCATCAAATACAAAAATCTATCGTTAAAATCTCTCAATTATTTCCTTGAATGATATTTACTTATCTTAAATTATATGTCCAAAAATAAAATCAGTACAAAAAACTTCACTATTTACCCGGAGCCAAATAAAATCGAATTACCCGAAAATCTGAATGGGGACCCTCGTATACTTGCCAAAAAATCTGGCAGTCCAGCACAAAAAATGCTGTCAAATAAATGTAAAGGATTCCCATACAAATAAATCTAAAGGATTCCCATACAAGTAAGGGAAATCCGTCATAAAATATCACGGGTTCATGAAAAACCGTCATAAAATTATGGGGAACAAAATTTTTTTAGTGAATGTTTTAGACAAAGATTTCATAAATAACTTCAATGAAATTATGTTATTTATTACATTAAGGTAGTGAACATCTAATAAGCATTATTAGAGAACGGTCAAATTGACAACATAGGACAGATGCATGCCTTAAATGACTCCTTTACGCAAAATTTAAACATAATTTACCGTATGGTTTATGAGTTTTGATGTATGGATTTGATTTACACGTGCACACAACAACATGTTTACTAATTTAGTTATGACCCTGACCAATAAATGACATTGACCGTCAAATGATTGAATTCTGCTTATATTTCCTTAACTTTGTCATATATTTATGGAAATTATTCATAACTGGACAAAACAAGAAGTGTGACTAGGACAGACCTATTTTACAATAAAATAGAATAAAAAGCTTAACTGTTTTTATTTAATTTCCTTTTAAAGATTTGTCTAAACCGTTTATGTGTTTGGTTTTAGAAAACGTGAAAAAAGTCGAGCGTTGTCCCTGCCCTGCGGTGGCTCTTTTATGCAATGATAATTATTCACATATTTCTTGAGTAGAAAAAGTTAATGAGGAAAAGTAGAGCTAAATAAATAATAATAAAAATCGGGCCGGGTTAACCAGAAATCAGATTGACTTGGGGACGGATTGACTTAATTGGCGCCGGATTGATTTGAGGCCGGGTCGACTTTGGGCCGGGTTGACTGGTACCGCATTTATATATGCAATAGCACTGTTTTGTACAATAAAAAACAAAAAATACGTTAATAATTTCATAAATGAACAATACAATAAGTACAATAAGGACATAATATACCAGTTCTCCCATGTTAGAACATTATCCAGTTTAGTGAAGTTACTGATTATCGAGTCATGTATCAATTGACTTTTAACTTTAAACCAAGTCTTTTTAAATGTTATACAGTGACAAGTTATGGCCAAAACGCAATTGAATAAGGAATTACGTTTTTATTTCTGACACTTAGTCTTAATTACGGACGGTTTCTTAACCATAACGATTTTATATTATTACAATATTTTATTGCAGAATCTCAAAATTTTGAGTGTATTAAGTGTAAAAATATGTTCAAGTGATTCAAAATATAATTGAAAAAGATACCGATTTTGATATTTAACAGGTGGAACAATAGATATAACAGTCCATGAAGTCCAACCTAATGGCGCTGTTAAAGAAATACAAGCTGCAAGTGGAGGCGGTTGGGGTGGTACTCTAGTAGACCAAGCTTTTGAAAAGCTGATCATTGATTTAGTAGGAAAAAGTGTTTATCAAGATTTCAAACAGGAAAGCCCGGATGACTGGCTAGATCTTTGGCGCGATTTTGAACTTAAGAAAAGAACAATCAAACCTGATAAGGAGACAAAAGTTGTCATGAAGATACCCGAAACTCTTCGTGAGCAGTATAAACGTAAATTCCGACAAACCTTTAAAGAGGCCGTTGAATCATCTTCATATGCTGAAAATATTACATTTGTTGCTGACAAGATGAAGTTTGACGCAATCGTATTTAAAAAGCTTTTTGATGTTTCTTTGGCCAAAACAATACAACATATGGAAAACCTTATCAGAGATCCAGCCGTCCGACACATTAAAGCCATTTTAATGGTTGGAGGTTTTTCTGAGTCTCCTTTGCTTCAAGAGAGGGTTAAATCGTGTTTTCCTGGCATTGATGTCATTATACCTGCAGAAGCGTCCTCGTCGATATTGAGAGGAGCGCTTATTTTTGGACACAGTCCAACTTCGATCTCAGAAAGAGTTCTGAGGTATACATATGGGGTGCGTGTATCAAGGCCATTTATAGAAGGCGTAGATCCAGAAAGCAAGCGTGTAATGACTGATTCGGGACCTCATTGCACGGGCACATTTGACAAGCATGTTGAGAGAAATAAAAAAGTAAAAGTAGGAGAGCCACAGATAACACAAATTTACACACCAAGGAACAGGGATCAAAAAGCCTTAACATTTCCCGTATATGCGTCAGAGATGAAAGATCCCAAATATACCGATGTGGGATGCAAATTCATCGGGGATATGAGGATAGAGCTGCCATACCATGATGGAGACTTGTCGCGTGAAGTTGAAGTTAGCCTTACATTTAGTGGTACAGAAATTGAGGTGACAACACATGATGTAAAATCTGGGAAATTAGAAAAAGCATCCATTGATTTCCTCGGGTAATCAGTGAATAAAAAAACAATTTAAGGTCAAAGACGAGCTAAATAAGACACGCACAATTAAAATTAATTAATGAAATTAATGAAACTCTGTAAGAATTTAATATATTATTGAACTATTTTGAGATGTCAAAACTACGGTTATTTTATATAGTGTGATTGCTTTAAGACACATAAATGGTGTAATAAATGCTATAATTATGCACACAAGCATTTCTGAACAATTTATTTTTTGATACTGCTTAATTAATAAGTATCTATGGTTAATAATAATAATCAAGATTAGTTATTGCAAATTTATCCTCATCTTATTCACCAGTTGTATTATAACTTTCAATGCTACACATGCACTTGTTAAGTGTTAAACAATTAAAATGTTTATTGGCTTAATAAGAAAAAACAAATTTTATGATATTGTGTGTTTAATGAGTATGTTTTATAACTCTTGTAATGGCTTTGGAGTGATATACTCGCAACACAATGTCTTAAATAATTTACGTAACGTTTTGAGAAAATGAGTGAGATATGCTTTTCTATTCGATTTGTAAAACATAGTGTAGCCCCTCTAAAATTGCCATGACGCACCTCTGCTTCAATGTGTTATGTATATAGGCTTTATTTTAAATGTGTTTAGTATCTATTTCCTGAATAGCTCAGTAGGTAGAGCACAGGACTGATTATTGCGATGTCGTGGGTTCGATACCTACTTATGCCACTATCATTTTTAATAATTTTGTTTATTTGATGTTTATATAATTTTTCATGTTCATTCATCTTCTTTCAAGAAAGTTCTTTTCATGTTCATTCTGGAATATTCTTTCTCTAAGTAGTTTAGTATTCTAGATTGTTCAATAATTGTATATATATGATGAATGTTTGTACTTCGATTGTGCTTTTGTGTAGATTGAGTGCTATTGCACTGCTGACATAGTAATATATAAGTTTGGAGTTTGTTATTCTGTATGGGAAGTGATACTTATTGTATTAATTCTACTGTGGACATTGATCAAATTTGAGTTGTGGACAATTGAATTCCGAAATGTGAGTTAAACTTTTAAATAGGGCATGTGTTAAATTTGAATTGTGGACAACTGTGACTTAAACTTAACTTTCATATTTTTTGTATTATGGTAAATAACTGTTTTTCTTTAATTATCAATTGTAAATTTTTTTTTAAATGTATTCCTTATGTTCTTAAAAACGACCTGTAAGGGACACTATTTATCAGATCATTAATACCATCTTCAAAAAGTGACTTATACCATATGCTGACATGAATTCTTGCGTTTAACATTATTTGTGACGATGATCCAATAAAAAAAGGTTCTCGGATTACAGGAGTTTTATTAATTGAAATACTCATATAAATTTACAACATTAATAAATATTGACTGTACACATAGCCTTTTACTTTACAAAAAACGAAACTTTAACTGATGGTGAAAGAAACTACAATGTGTCATCTTTTAAAACAGTAAATATAATGTTAAATTTTATTTCATAAATGGGATATTTAATATTTAGTATCACAGTGAACTCTGGAAACCTTAAAGAACATGTCAAATGAATGGCTTAGACTTGTTTCAATCATACAATATCTATAATATCTTTTATTGTAACTTCCAGTGTTTTTTTTAAAGTAACATGACTTTTTTTAAAACTACTCAGTGATTCTGTCGGCGGCTAAATTTCGTTCAACATATATAGATATATTTACGTTTCAAACCCCAAAAATATAGAATTAATACATAAACTCCTGCCGGGGCATTAGAAAATGTCATTTAAGCATGATTTGAGCACATAAGATCATTATAATAATTTTGTCATTAATTTGCCTGTGTATCCCTTTAAAATCTTAGTATTATCTAAAGAACTTCAGGCATCGTTGTAGTGGTTAAATTACTTTACATAACCTTACATTAAACGTAACACGAGAAGAGAGAAAATTATTGGCGAGTGAGCGTCGTCGTCTTTCATGGAATGGTTTGTTTTTTTTGGCCCATGGTAGGAGCTGTCATTATTAGCAGTTAATGTCATGTTGTGTTAATTAGTTTTATTTTGATTTTTAAAAATCTAATAACAATGTGAAATTAACTATTATTTTCTATTTGTTTGTATTAAAATTGTTAAGTAAAAATAACCTATGGTTAAAATGAAAGGTAGACAAATTAAAGCTATACATACAGACGCTTATGTCCATGTACTATTGAAACTGAGAATGGATAACATCCGTAGGTTGTCAATTTAAACACTTCATGTATACATTGTTAGTTGTTATAATAAAGTCTAAGAGCAGCATTTGTTACTCTAACAGATACAAAAATCTGGAAACAAAGTGATCCCTCGGAAGCATTAATCACAACAAAATTACAAGAGACGTATGCGTTTAATGCATAGACACAATCAAATTTTTATATGTTATATAGACCAGTTGAGATTTCCTTTATTTTCATTTTATATACTATACATTATAATTTTCTTTCTACTAGATTTTGAATTCCATCCAAGTACCAATGTAATAGGATTTCATATCTATTAAATAGATACTGGGAAGTATTAATGTTACACACATTTATATCTTTAGATATGATGAGACTGTATAATATTTCTGTATTAAAAGAGAAACAGTTATAGAATTATTATTAAAGGTATGAGACTTACATTCAAATTTATAAATGATAATACATGTATTGATAAGTCTACATGTTATAGGTTTATTCCCAGGGTTAGGTGGCTTATAATTCTATTTACAATAGAGTTAAAGGAAAATTATGTGCCTTACTTTAGAAGAGCTTTAGTTACTGTATTTTTCAAAGTATTTTATTTTTCTGAACTTGTGAGATAACGCTGGTATGACCTATACAGGTGAGGTTAAATAAGTGTCCATTACCAGTGATGACAGGGTCCGTGGTGGAAATCAACCGGACTGTTGCATGGCAATAGAGATATACATCCCACACTCTCTTTCTCTGCTATTACATTAGGTCAGTACTGGTCCTGGAAAGAAAATGTCCTTAAACTTGAATCAATCAATATAATTTTTAGAGTGTCCAAAATATTATATTCCGAATTTTTATTTTTATTTTTTCTAACATGTGCATAGTTTTAAAAGGACAGCCCCTGTCTTTTTGGCAATGGCGAGACACTTATCTCAATCTGCAGGTCACAAGCAGAGTCAACACGACTACAGACTTTTCATAGTGTAGATATTTGCGTGCACTTGAATAGATTTGTGCACTTAATTTTATGTTGGCTGATTTGTGCCACACGAAACCCGACAAGTACGAAAAAGTAACCGGGCGCCAGACGAAAATATGAAAAGACCACAAAGTGGTTCCTGTATAGTATTTTCATGTTTTCGGTCGGTGCCCCCCCCCCCCTGATTAAAAAATACAACATGAAAAAGGTTGTTGTTTTTTATTAGATATAATACATGTATTAGTACAGTTATTTATTGACCTGATATTAATAATGCCACTATCAATAACTGTGTCATCCTTTTTAAGAAAAAAAAATACATATAAATGTATAAAAAATTTTTTAATTAAAGCCACTGGCCTCCAAGATAATAAAATGCGAAAAATGAATTAAACTTTAACGTAACCGGTAAATACTGATGTAGTTAGTTTTAATGTTTAAATTCATTTACTGACACCTTAATAATTCAAGTAAAAATGTGGAAAATGTAGTCAATATCGCATGTTTTTCCTTTGCACAATCTACTTCGTAACTAACGTAGTAGCCAATATAAATATGAATTCATTTACCACGGTCACGTGTCACAACATTGGTCAGAAAAAATCCCGGTATCAGGTATGCCCGGGGTCGTATATATATATTTATATATATATGATAAAATTAATAAATTATAGTTTATTACTATAAATATCAAAACCAAAGCAGTTATTTGTTTCCCTTTATGTTTGATACGATCCCTAATTCCGTCGGAGCACAGGTCGCGATATTGTCCTGTACCATCACAGGGTACTAAAAACGGATGAATTCCCTGACACATTTGTGCACTTGTTATGAAAGACAATATAACTGTAATAGAAATGATGTGCATGGTAGCCTGCGACATGATTAAGTTTAAAATAAAGAACATTATATAATGGGACCAAAGTATAGATCAAGTACAGATAATTTGTTATCTAACCAATAATATACTCTTTATAGAAATAAAGCCCATTAAACATGAACCATGTTCCTCAAAAATGAACCCGGTGCTCCAAATAAGGCAGATACTTAAGATAAGGAGCCTAACTTGACATTTCAAAATCCACATTACTTTTAAGTGTACACATTTGTGACATACTTCCATTTCATTTCGATAGCCAAATCATGTTACTCCGTATATTTCTTTGTTGTTTACCATTCTTTATAGAAGGTAAGAAACGATTTCTTTTGTATACAAAGCAATTTTTTTAGCAAGTTGGATTATTCAAGATGCCTTGATTGACGCTTGAGCATGTCAATGGTTCTGGGATTGATACATTTTTATACCTATTACTGAATAAATATGTCAGCCTGCTTATCTTAACATTGAGAACATCGGATAAGTACTCCAGGGGTAGCTAGTCCAATCCTCCGGCGAGCCGTTATTTGGGCGTGAAAATTGCTGGCGTCTGCCTCTCACCGCTGATTCAGAACACAGGCACGAGTATCGGACCTGGGAAGAAAATCTGACCACGTCTTAAATGTATCCCTTAAAAAGAGAACACCACTTGTTGTGCCACTTTTTTGTCTACCTGGGAGTTTTAGCACGGATGCGTTTTTTTGCTGATTGATATTTCATGAACGGGAAGGGCTAGAGACTTGAGGTCGGTCTCATTTGGAATACAAACGTAAAATAGTGAAAACGTTTTTTTTTATTATCTGGACAATTGTTTATACAACGTCCCGGGGAATCGCAGACTCAAATCTGAAGTTTCCGGCCTTCTCTTAACTTACCGTATAAGTGGTTTTTTCTGCGGTGACTTTATTTCTGCGTTTTCTGCGGTCAGTTTCAGTACCGCAGAGATAAAAACCGCAGAATATTTCTCTGTGTTTTTTTAATGGTATGTGTCCTACATTATGACCTGTTTCCTCTAAAGTAATAACGACTAACGGATTATAACGGTTAGCGGGTCATCGAGTTATATAAAATTGCTTTCGGCTAAGTATGTATAATGTGCTTGTAAGGATGTACCTATTGTAAATTATGCCAATTTATGAATAAAGATATTTAAACATCTTAATTATGTAGTGTTTGTCTGTACGCAAAAAAGGTTTGTTTACCACTATATCATTAAAACCATTTTAATCCTTACACTGCTAAATAATCGTCGTATGCATTAATTGTTGTTTGATTTACGAAAAACTTTTATCAATTTTATTAAATCAAAGATACTTCCAGGGTATATTTTTCACACATCATTTCATGCTGAACAAAAGATGCATACTGTCTATTGTTGCGCATTATATTTGTTTGCAAGCAATCAATATAATTGTTTGTAATTTCTATATAGTTTTGCAGTGACGATGATTAACAAAATTTTAATGCGATTGTGTACATGCAAATTAAATAGGTAGAGTAATGTGACTAAGACTTTGATAAGATGAGTCGCAGAATTTAAATCACTTTTTGTCCAAAGAATGTGCCGCAGAAAAAAAGTCCGCAGAAATAAAAACATGCCAAAATTTGGAAAAACTGCAGAATTTGGAGCCCGCAGAAAAAACCACTTATACGGTATAGTATATTTTTGAGGTGGCTCATATTTCGCTTTTTTGTTTTTTGACACATTTAAGATGAACACAGGTGTTTTTTTTTATTAATGTGGTCAGATTTTCTTCCTTGGTCCGATTCTCGTGCCTGTGTTTCAGAAATTATGTTGGATTAGTAGCCGGCCAGTTACAGAATATAGGTACTTCCTGGTTTGTTATTCAGGGAATTTTGGAGGATTTGCCGCAGAGATACGATCAAAACACGTGAAAACCAGGAAAAACAAAATGTCATATGTGCCAGATCACAAAACCACATCAACCGCTATATTAGATAAATTATATCAACTGCAGGTTTGGTCCTGTATGGACTTAATTAAAGTTATATAATTAAAAGATTTTGTAAACTTTGACTGAAGAATCATACTTTCATCCATTATGACAACTTAATTCACTTTTAACTTTTCAGGTGTTTCCTCTCAAACCACTCAATCAATATATACGGAATATTTCTGCAATAATTTAAAAAACGACGATTGTAACAATCATAACGTTTCTGAAAGATGTGGCACCGATAATATTACCTACAGGAATGGGTATATATTGTTTTCATTTGTCATTTGGATGTTAATGTAAAAAAATGGGTATACGTATGTTGTTTTCATTTGATGTGAAAAAAAACGAATGGATATATTTATATTGTTTTAACTAAGGCGTAATCATACATATGTTAAATGCATGATATGCCATATAAGTACATACTTTTTTCAACACATCTTTGAACGAAACGTCGCAATAACATATTGAAAGTCATATATGGCGACCCTCCTGCTTTCCTGACAGAGGTAAACCTCCGGTGGCCAATAGTGCAGTATTTCAGCCGCGAACGGGCCACTTAGTAGAACCACCGGCGTTCTATTAGCTAGATAGATATCAACCTCACTTTAAAAAATCCTTAATCACTGGCGGGATTCAAACCGACAACGGTAAGGGCCAGGAATTTTGAAGTCAACTACCTCTCTGTAGTTTCGATGTAATAGATAACAGCATAAGTCTCGTTACAAACTTATGTGGCCCATTTTTGTAATCAACAAAACATGTCTCTTTTATGTGGTCTGTACACATACTATATGATTGGACATTTTGAC